TATATATATATATATATATATATATATATATATATATGTGTGTGTGTGTGTGTGTGTGTGTGTGTATATATATATATATAACTCCTTCCTTGCCCAGAGCAGGGCTCTGTGCTCTGCACATATCAGACACTTCAGATTTATGAATGTGAGATTGAGTGAGTGAACAGTTGACGATAGCCATGTGCAAACTGTAGATAGGAGCTGTGGAGTGTTAGACCAAACAGGATCATTCTCTCTTAGTTCTGCCACCCCACCAAGGGCCCCTTTCCACCTTTCCCCAGTGCCCACCCTCACCATTCTCCGCCCAACCCTGGCCCCTCACATTATAAGCATCCATGATGAGCTGTACCACATTGCTGGAGTCCTCACTCAGCTCCCCCACTGCGGACTTAGGAATCAGCTTACTCAGCTCCTGAGTTATGAGAAGTTGAGGGAAATGGTGGGTCACAGCTCTAGGAAAATGGGCCCCTGGAGGTCTGGAAGAAGGGTATATGGGGGGCAGAGAATGGTCCTTTGGGGAAATTAAGAAAGGCTGGGGTAGGGGGGGTCTGGCATTCAGACAGTTCTCACCTGGTAGACAGGCAGTGTGGCACTGGTGACAGCAAAGATGGGCTGGATGTTTGCTGCAGAGAGGGCCTGGGCTACCTGACCCACGGAGGGATAGTCCTGGGGCAGGGAGGGGGACAAGGTGAGCACCACAGGTCTCCCCCACCCATGCAAGGTGCCCTCAGCCCAGAGAATCCAGGAACCGGAGTTCCACAGCTGGAGGAGCCCTGGAGGCTTGGCAAAAAGTAGGAGGGAGGGAGGGAGTGGGGTGACACAGGTTTCCTGTCTGAGCAGCTGGGGGAACATGGAGAAGAGGAACTGTCAGGGAAGACGGCAAGGTGTCTACAAGGTGGTCACCAATGAGGAGTGTGTGGCTGGGGGGTGAGGGTCCTGGAAGGAGAGAAGGTGTGGTTCAGATGGGGACAGGCGGAGTGAGGGTGGGGACTCACAAAATCTGGGCTGCGACTGTAGAGGCCATTGCTGTCCAAGTGGCAGTGCCCATCACTGGGCATGAAAATGCCGCCCAACTTCCCATCCCCAGCTGTGTGGAATGTGTCATCTGAAGTGAACACCAGCAGCCGGGACACATTTCTCCAGCCAATCTGCTCCTGGGGTGAGGAGTATGCTGTGTACCTGGGCATGACCCTTGAGCCACCCAGCCAGCTCTAAGAGCTAAGGATTTGGCCAGCCTTCCTCTGTAGGTTTGTCCATCCCCCTGCCTCCAGCTCCCTGCTTCTCCCTGCTCCTCCCTGCTCTCCCCAGCCCCGAAAACAGGGCTGCTGCTAATGGAGACCTTATGAATTGAAAAACATGCCTCTTCCGCAAGATATGTCACTCCATTCTACCAGATAATTGTTAAATATGCAAACTACAATGACTACAGTATGAATGGTAGCCCCTAGAACTGTGCATTACACAACCATAATGGGCATCCCTAGCCCCGAACAGTCCTTCAGGCTCAGATACCCACCCCACTTCCTCACCTGGCAGAGTACAGCCTGCAGAATGGCGTCAAAGCCACCTTCAGGAGAGTCCAGGTTGCCAGACACACTCTGGCGCCCCACCTCCCGCTCGAAGGCCTGAGCATCCCCCGTTAGGGACAGCACATGGTGGAAGCTGAAGGGTGGCTGGCAGCGCTCCAGCCGGCTGGGGCAGGGGTGGCGTAGCTTGGAGGGCACTGTGCTCACAAAGGGCAGCACTGTTTTGTCCACAAAGGAGCCAAAACCTGGGAAAGGGGAGGCATGAAGGCTGTGCCAGAAGTCGCAGCAGCAGCAGGATGGAGGGGTCACTGCTGAGGACCCAAAAGGGAGGAGTCCATGAGAAGTGGGGGATGGAGAGGATGGTCATAAAGGAGATGATGGGAGAGGGTGCTCCTAGAGGGCAGGGACCCAGTACCTGACAAAGGCAAAGGGGTGAGACCACCAGCTCGGGGAAATGAGGGGTGGAGGAGATTAAGAAGAAGACAACACAGGGGCAGACAGAGGCTCTTCAAAGCTGAGGAAGAAGGCCAGGGGGTAGGATGTGATAGCAATATGAGGCGAAGAGGGGCTCTCGAACAGAGGAGAGAGGAGCCCAGAATGTGGGGCCAGGGGCAGTGACATCTAGGCCTTGTCCAAGAGACACTGGGCTGAGACAGTGACATCAGACTAGTTTCCAGGTTGGTAGATCCAGGGCAGCTGTCTGCACAAAGTCTCTTCAGACTCAGACTCAGGGCCTCAGTCCTCCTGTGAAATTAGGGTTCCTCCTAGACAGTCTCAAGTCCCCTCCAGCTCTGACCTAGAAGATGGGTGGCTTTGGGGAGAGCTGTCAGGAACCTATGGCCTGGCCTGTTAAAAACTGGGAGAGGGCAGGTAAGGCCCCTTGTGAGCGCGGGACATAAGGCTGCGGTGGAAGTTAGAGGCAGAGGCCAGGGCTGACAGGGTGGGAGGCAGCGCTCCGCTCACCAATGCGCACAGAATGGGTGACCTCCTGCAGCCGGACCAGCAGGGCGTGCCCGAGCTGGCGCACGCTTTCCAGGTCATCCTTCATGGAGTAGCTCAGGTCCATAAGGTAGTACAGGTCCACCGGGTATCCCTCGGCACGGAGAAAGCGGACCCGGAACTGCTGGGGCTCCCCTGGGGCGAGGGAGAGGGTGCGGGTCAGCGGAGCGCAATCGAACCCCAGCCCAGACCTCTGCCCCAGCCCCGCTGCCTCTAACTCACCGGGCCTCAGCGTGACCCGGACCCGCTGCGGCGCCAGCTGTGTGGCCCCCTCGCCGCGGGCTCCCTGGCTGAGCGGCTCGTCCTGCAGCACCTCCTGCCGGCCGCGGGGCTCTTCCAGCTCCTCCCGCGGGCAGCCCCGAGCCAGCAGCTCCTCGCGCCGGGCGCAGCGCCGCTCCTCCGCCTCCCCAGAGGCGGTGAAGTTCTGAGCGGCAAGGGGACGCGCTTCGGGACCCCAGTCTCGCACGGGCCCCTCAGCCGAGCTCCCAAAGCCACCCTGCAAAGCCAGCCACTTCTAATACCCACCGCCGGCCCCTCCAGTAAACTCCTCGAGCCCCTCTGATTCCCTCCTCTCCCCTATTTCCACAACTACCCATGAACTTATCAGTTCTTTCTTCCTGTCACAGCCCCACTTCCTATAGCAGTCTCTCCTCCCCTACCCTTTTCTGGACTCCCACTTTCCCCAGCCACCTACCCTTGCCCACTCCCTAGAGCCACAGACTTCCTGTTGAGATCTCTGGGACCTTGCTGCCACCAAAAAAGTGGGGAGCCCGGCCTCTTATCCCAACCTCTCCTGCATGCTCAGGCCAAAATGGGAAGGGGTTCAAGCTTAGACCCCCCTCAGTTCCTGGGAAGGAGAAGGACAGGGACAGAAGAGGGGACATCTTCCCCTCAGTGTGTCTGGTACCACTGGGACTGGCTGGGAACCCTCAAGGGAAGGAAATGGTTAGAACTGCTTCTCACATAACCCAGGTGCCAGCCTCTGGTCTGGGGATTGGAGGAGGCAGACACAGACTTGACTCAAGAGCCCCTTCTCCCCAGCCCCAGCCTGGCTCCTCTGCCTCTCTGCCTCCAGCATACTGGAGTGTACCCTTCCTGTCCTCCCAGATTCACTGTGTGCCTTTCTCCTGGGCCCTCTCAGCATCTGTAACTCTCCCTCCCCCTGAGTGTGCCCTCATCTCTTATCTCTAATCTAACTCTCCATCCCCTTGTGAGATAGATGGCTCTGTCCACCCCCACCCTATGCATTCCCCGCCCCCAGGCACCCCTCTACCACTCCATGAGCACCATCTCTTTTTTTTTTTTTTTTTTTTTTTTTTTTTTTTTTTTTTTTTTTTTTTTTTTTGTGACCGGTAAGGGGATCGCAACCCTTGGCTTGGTGTCGCCCGCACCGTGCTCAGCCAGTGAGCGCACCGGCCATCCCTATGTAGGATCCAAACCCGTGGTGGGAGCGCCACTGCGCTCCCAGCGCTGCACTCTCCCAACTGCGCCACAGGGCCGGCCGAGCCCCCATCTCTTTAAGTCATAAACAAAGAATAGCTTTGTTTGACCAGCCAGGGAAACACCGACTTCCCAGCATCTTTCTTCACCATTGGGTAGCTCAGGCCTTCAACCCCTTCCCTTCTACCAGCCCAGTCATAGGCTGCTACACACCCAGAAACATAATACCCCTCACCTCCAAAGACAGACTGAGAAGTCCATTCACATACTTTGTACTATGGACTGAACTCTGTCCCCAAAAAACTCCCAAAATGTTGAAGCCCTAACCCTCAACGTGATGATGTTTGGTGATAGGGGTCTTTGGAAGGTAATTAGGTTTAGATGAGGTCATAAGGGTGGGGCTTTCATGATGGAATTAGTGCCTTTATAAGAAGAAACATCAGAAAGCTTGTTTCCTCTCTCTCTCTCTCTCCACCATGTAAGGACATAGAAGCCCTCACTAGAGAATCAAATCACCTAGCACTTTGATTTTGGGTTTTCCAGCCTCCAAATTATGAGAAATAAATTCCTGTTGCTCAAGCCATCTAGTCTATGGTATTTTGTTATTGCAGCCCAAACTGGCTAATTCAATTTCTCACATGTGTACATGCAAAATAGTTCCCTCTACCTATATATAAGCATAAATTCCCACAAGCACATACTTCCTCCACATTCATGGTCACCAGTCCTCTCTATAAATACACAGATACCAACATAATCATATGTGCACAGTGTGTGTACACACAAACTCACACAATCACACAAAGGAGTCCTATGTGCACGAACTCAGTCATACACGAGACTGGAATGTACCCAGAAAATCACGTGCCCACACAATCACACACATATATCCAGGCTGCACATACAAATTCACATGGCTGAAAGGCCACAGATCCATCTTTACCAGTTGCTTGCACCATGCACAGCTGGGATGTGAGAGGATGCACTTCTGGCAGGATGGTGCTGGTTGGCAGGACCCTGGCAGGAACAGGTCAGAATCCCCCCATTCTGTGGCCTCTCCTGGGGATGGGACCTTGACATCCAATTCACTCTCACTTCTGCTCAGGGCCAGCAGGAAAACAAGGACCACTGACAAAGCCGCCATAGCCTGTACCAGGATATAAAGGGGGACACATGGGTCCTCAGGGAGGACCCCCAAGCTTTCAGTCCTCTACACTTAGATTGTGATCATCACTCTCAAAATTATACTCCACCTCTTTATCTCTCCTCTTAGTTTCACTTCCTCCTGTGGATTCAGCAGTTTGTTCAAAATGGAGAAAAGGGGCAGGTACCAGGCTGGGGTAGGGGCCTAGGAGAAGACCTCCTGTGTGTACACTTCACATGGCCAGAGTAGGCAAAATGGCCTAATAAAGGATCTGGGGCTGGGCCTGGAAGCAACAAGGTCTGTGCTCAGGTCTGTTTACCAAGATTCCAAGCCGTAGTAGAGGTAGAACCAAACAGGAAACCAACTGAATTCTGGTCCTGCCTCAGTCACTCACTGGCTGTGTGGCAAGTCAGACTTTCTAGGCCTAGTCTCCACATCTGTAAAGTGAGGGAGCTAAATAAGTAATCTGACAGCCCTTGCAAGTTTCACAATCTTGGATTTTAAATAAGAGAAAAGGGTCAGTGAATGGGAATGACAGGAAAGAAGGCTGGAGCAGATGAGGGAGTGTGTGAAAGAGTCAGGGAAGAGTAGTTCTAGGTTGACACAATAGCAAGAAAAATGAAGATTAGACCACAAGAAGAACTTTATAAAGGTCTGGGATAAGGAAGGAAGGCCAAGATTGGTAAAAATTTTCTCTTTCCTATGCTTTGCACAAAGGGAATCTAGATTGGTGAAAGAGCCCAGAGACAGGGTAATTCCTGAAATGACCTCTAGGAAGCAGGCAAATTCCTGAATTTAAAAAACATATTAATTAATGGGCCGGCCCGGTGGCGCACTGGAGAGTGCGCCGATTGGGAGCGCGGCGGCGCTCCCGCCAAGGGTTTGGATCCCATGTGGAGACCGGTTCCCGCTCACTGGCTGAGTGCGGTGCGGGCGCAACACCGAGGGTTGCAATCCCGTTACCGGTCGGTAAAAAAAAAGACAAAAAGGGAAAAAAAAAAAACGTATTAATTAAAAAATTGAATAGGCAAGGGCTGACCCCGTGGCATACTCGGGAGAGTGCGGCGCTGGGAGCACAGCAGCGCTCCCGCCGCGGGTTCGGATCCTATATGGGGAAGGCCGGTGCACTCACTGGCTGAGCGCAGTGTGGCCGGTCACAAAAAAGACAAAAAAATAAAAAAATTGAATAGGCAATCCATTGCCGTACTTCAAAAGTCAAAAAGTTAAATCCCAGGGCCGGCCCGGTGGCACACTGCTACAGTGCGCTGCTTGGGAGCGCAGCGGCGCTCCCGCCGAGGGTTCGGATCCCACATACAGACCGGTTCCCGCTCACTGGCTGAGCGAGGTGCGGACGCAGCACCGAGGGTTGCGATCACGTTGCCGGTCCCGGTCCGGTACGGGCACGACACTGAGGGTTGTGATCCATTGCCGGACACGAAAAAAGACAAAAAGGAAAAAAAAAAAAAGTTAAATCCCAATGGCCTTTTTTTGCAGAAATGGAAAAACTGATCCTAAAATTCATATGGTATTACATGGGACTCCAAATAGCCAAAACAATCTTGAAAAAGAAGAACAAAGTTGGAGGACTCACACTTCCCAAGTACAAAACTGACTGCACAGCTACAGTAATCAAGACAGTGTGGTACTGACATATTGATGCACATATAGATCAATGGAATAGAATTGAGAGTCCAGAAATAAACTTATCCATTTATGGCCAATTTATTTTCAACAAGGCTACCAAACTATTATTCAATGGGAAAAGAATAGTCTTCAACAAATGATGCTAGGATGATTGGATATCCACATGCAAAAAAATGAAGGTGGACCCCTATCTCACACCATATACAAAAATGAACTGAAAATGGATCAAAGACCTAAATATAACTGCTAAAATTATAAACTCTTTGGAAGAAAATATAAATATAGTCCAAGTTCATGATCTTAAACTTGGCAATGGATTGTTAGCTATAACACCAAAAGCACAAGCAACAAAATGAAAAAATAAATTGTGCTTCATCTAAGTTTTAAACTTTTGGGCATCAAAGGTCTCTATCAAGAGAGTGAAAAGACAACTCACAAAATAGGAGAAAATATTTGCAAATCATATATCTGATGAGTATCTGTAATATATAAGGAACTCTTAAAATTCAACAACAAAGGGCCGGCCCGGTGGCGCACTGGGTAGTGTGCCGCTTGGGAAGCGCGGTGGCACTCCCGCCCGAGGGTTCGGATCCCACATACGGACCGGCTCCCGCTCACTGAACGACCCAATTAAAAAATGAACAAAGGACTTAAATAGACATTTCTTCAAAGAAGATACACTAATGGCCAATCAGCACATAAAATGATGCTTATCATCATTAATCATCAGGGAAATGCAAATCAAAACCACAATAACATACCACTTCACACCCACTAGCATGATTATAATTTAAAAAAATGAAAAATAACAAGTGTCAATGAGGATGTAGAGAAATTGGGATCCTTATACATTACTGGTGGGAATGAAATATGGTACAACCACTGTGGAAAATAGTTGGTTCCTCAATACGTTAAACATAGAATTAGCCTTTGACCTGGCAATTCCATTCCTAGGTATATATCCAAAAGAATTGAAAACAGGTGTTCAAACAAAAACTTGTATACATCAATGTTCATAGCAGCATTATTCATAATAGCTAAAGGGTGGAAACAACCCAAATGTCCATCAACTGATGAAAGGATAAACAAAAAGTGGTATATCCATACAACAGAATATCATTCAGCCATAAAAAGCAGTGAAGTACTAGTACATGCTACAGCATAGATGAGCCTTGAAAACATTATGCTAAGTGAAACTAAACCAGTCATGAAAGATCTCATATAGTGTGATTCCATTTATATGAAATATCCAAACTAGGAAAATCTATAGAGACAGAAAGTAGATTAGCGGTTACCAGGGTTTGGGGGAATGGGGAATGGAGAGTGATTACTTAACAGGCAGTTACTTTTTGGGTGATGAAAAAGTTCTGGAATTAGTGATGATGGTTGCACAACCTTGTGAATGTACTTACTGCCACTGAATTGTGCACTTAAAAATTGTTAAAATTTGTGGTGCTGTTAAGACCAAGATCCACAGTTTGATCCCTGTACTGGCCAGCCACCCAAAAAAATGGTTAAAATGATTAAATTTTATGTGTATTTTACCATGAAAAATCAAAAAGTTAAATAACAGTGAGAAATTTTCCATCCCATACACCCCAGTTTCACAACTACCCTTAATAAATATTCTCTCTATTATTTTTTTTTTTTTGGCAGCTGGCCGGTATAGGGATCAAACCCTGGACCCTAGGTGTTATCAGCATCATGTTCTAACCAACTGAGCTAACCAGCCAGCCCAATAAATATTGTTTATTATTATCTTTGTTTCTTATAATCTTTCTAGAGGTCGTTTCATGCATTTACAAATTAATACAAATATCTATGCTTTATGTGTGAATTCTACAGTGGTAGAATACACACAACTTTATACCTTATTTTTTTTCTTTTAACAACTTTTGGAGATCTTTCTACCCAAGGAAATAAAAAGCTTCCTTGTTCATTTTTACAGCCATATAGATTTCCATCGCATGGACACATCATTATCATAATCAGTCCCTTAAAAATGGTCATTTAAATCATTTCTTTTTTTTTTCCTTTTTTTTGTCTTTTTTTACTGACCGGTAACGTGATCACAACCCTCGGTGTCGCGCCCGCACCGGGGACCAGCAAGGGGATCGCAACCCTCAGTGCTGCGCCCGCACTGCACTCAGCCAGTGAGCGGGAACCGGTCTCCACATGGGATCCGAACCCTTGGCGGGAGCGCCGCCGCGCTCCCAAGCGGCGCACTCTCCAGTGCGCCACCAGGCCAGCCCAAATCATTTCTAATTGTTCAGTATTACAAATAATGCTGCAATGAAATTTCATGTATTTATCTGTACCAGCCAGCCACCAAAAAATAAATTATCATTTCACACGTATACAAGTGCATCTGTCGGATAAATCCCTGGAAGAGAATGTGCATGTCAGTGGATGGGTATCATTCATAATATTGGTGAATATCACCAAAATAAGTTCCTTAGGGATTGTACCAGTTCACAATCCCATCAGCAGTATATGAGAAAGACCAACTAACTCCTTGTCATGAAGCATCTGCATTCTCCTCAGCCTGGGCCCAGACTCAAGTCCAGATGTTCTACACAAGGTGTGAGGAAGGGGTGGGGTATTGTCATTGAACAGCCCTGCCCTGCTCCCACCACCTGTGACCTCAGGCGCAGTATATAACAGAGTCTCCACCCCTTGGTGAGAGGCCTGACCAGAGCCCAGGCTCAGTGTAACCTCAGTCCTGCTTGCTCTGCATGCCTGTGGTCAGGCAAGCTGGAGACGCTGCAGCACAAAGCTCAGTTTTGACTCATCTCTCACAGATGGGGCCCCCACCGCCACACTGGTTCCCCAGGATAGGGCAAACCTAGTCATCTCCCCTAAAGGGGGCCCTGGGACTCCCTGGACAGCCCTCTCCACCCCTTCTCCCAAATCTTCCCCCTCTTCCATCCTTGGGGACACATGCCCTGTCACCTACTTCTCTGTATGTCTGTTTCTCTGTCTTGGTCTCTCTGTCTGGCCCTTCTTCCTATTCAAAAATTTGATTACATCCCTTTACTGCTTTTGTCTTCACTTCACAGTTCTTTGTTTTACTTCCTTTTTCCCTCTAATCCTAAACACAGAATGGCAGAATCTTCTACTTCAGCCCACAGTGAACTAGAGGCAGAGTAGGGATTGAGAAAGGTCAGGCCTCTTGGCCTACTTGACGCTTTCCTCCTCTCCAACCCAGGCACCATCACCATCAAAAGTTGTGGCTTCCCAACTAGCCCCAATGGGCTCTACCTAACCCAATTTCTCTTTCCTTGGAGGTCTTCAGTCTTCCCTTTTCTCCCTGGGATCAAATGGTTGTCCCATTTTCCTGGACTCAATTCTAACTCCTTTATACACACTATTGCACCCGTCAGCAGCTGAGAAACAGAGCCTCTTCCCAACCCATCCAGACCTCCCAGGTCAAGAAGGACCCTCTGCTGCCCACTCAGAATCACAAGGTGGGAACAGAACTGACGTGCTGAGCCACAGTCTTCCAGGAGTGTGGAGCTGTGTCCAAAGTGTCGATTGGGAAGAAGTCAGAGCTGAGGACAAAGCATTAGGCAGCAGGGATGGCAGATGGGTGTGTGTGGTGGCGGGGGCAGTGATGTTGGGAGGATTCTACCTTGGGATAACCCTTGGCACATGGCAGGCACTCATATGATAGCACTCATACATCTTCACCTCCTTTCCCTCCCTCCAGCCCCACTCTTGGGAAACTCGCACCCAAGAAAGATTGGGGGGGCGGTGAAACTGGGGGAAGGAACAGGAAGAGGGGATCTCAGGAACGATGCAGAAAAGAGTTCAGAGGCTTTCTCAAGTGCAGACAGGACCCTGGGTATCCAAGTTAGAGCCTTCTTTTCAGAAGGTTGGGAGCAGGTGGACTGTAAGGAGAGGAGGCAGGAGGGCTATTGCCCTGGTACTCACAGGTGCATGCAGAGCAGCTCTTCCTCTGGCGGCAGCAGCAGCCTTTGTGCACTGATCTGGGAGGCTGCAGAGGAGGAAGTGACACACCCTGGGGTGGGGGAGACTTGGGGATGGTGGGGGTGACGATCTAGGTTAAAAGAGTGTATGATACAGGGATTTGGAAGAAGAAAACTCATTTATTGAGCACCTGTCACTTGCTGGACATGTTACAATTAATCCTCACAACAACCTCATCAGATAGGTGTTAGTATCCACCCCTCATCTCCCCCCACAATTTTACAGATGTAGAGATTGAGTCTTAGAGGCAACAAGTAAAGGATTTTGCCCAAGGTCACACAGCTATTAAGTCCAAATCCAGTAAGTTTCAATCCAGGTCTGCCTGCCAGCAAAACTGATCACCTCTCCCCTTCCTTACATAGGAAGGAACATGATAGGATGGAACATGGAGGCAGTAAGTACTATAGAGAGGGCAAAATTAGAGACTATTGCTCATTTTGAAAACCCAGTGCCCACTGCTTCATAGTATGCTTAACTATATGTGCTCTGGAGCCAAGCTACCAGAGTTCAAATCCTGGCTCTACCATTTACTAGTAGTAAGGACTGTAACTGAGTTACTTAGCCCTTCCCGGGACTGTTTTCTCATCTGTCAAGTGAGCCTCGTAGGATTGTCCCAGGAATGAAATGAGATTATTTACTTATTTATTTGTTTATTTTAAAAGATGATCGGTAAGGGGATCTCAACCGTTGACTTGGTGTTGTCAGCACCATGCTCAGCCAGTGAGCGAACCGGCCATCCCTATATAGGATCTGAACCCGTGGTCTTGAAGTTATCAGCACTGCACTCTCCCGAGTGAGCCACGGGCCGGCCCTTGAGATAATTTATATTAACTGCTTACAGGCATGCTTGGCACATACTAAGGGCTTGATAAGAGGATCAGTAGGGATGAGAAGTAATGCAGGTGAGAAGTGAAGAGCCTTTGAGAAATTCAAGGTCCAGACAGCTGGAAACATGGAAAGAGAGGCACAGGGCCAAGCTCAAAGAATGCGTTTGGGGGCCAGAAGCCAAGACAGTAGCGAAGCCTGGGAAAGGGGTAAAGGAGGTGAGCTAGGGGAAGCAGAGAACATCAGCTGGAGCAGAGGCAAGGATGAAACCAGTAAGGAGAATGGGGTGTGAGAAATATTAATGGGATTTGCCCCAGCCCACACTTGACCACTGGGAGCTTTGAGAGGGAACTAAAAATGAGGTCTATGTTTGCGGGTCTGTCTCCCCTACCAGAAGGGGCACTCCTTGAGGGCAGGGACTGGCTGTACCAAGTATTCTGCTGTAACCACAGCACCTAGGCAAGTGCCATCTCATAGTAGGTGCTCAATAAATGTCAGATGGATTGTAACTGTAGATTGTAAGTGTAGCTACTGTAAGGAGGCAACTGAGGGGCTCTTTCCCTGGGTGGGCTTGGGCTATGGGACAGATGGGACCTTCTACCCTTCCCCCACAACCAGGGGTTACCATGGCAATTACCCCTCCTCCCTCACAGGCCCTGTGGTTTCCTCTAGAGCTTCTTTCACTTTCTTCTTCTGCTTTCCCCCCACTCTTCTTTCCTCCTCCACTCCCACATCCTCAACTTCTTTCTCATATGCATAGGTCACCGGTGAAGAAAGCTGGGGACAAGGTAGGCAAGGCACTGTCCCAGGGAAGGAGGAGGGCATCACAGAAGGCAAGGGGAGACAGAGTACAGGGGCACAGTGGTAGAGGCGTTGCAAAGGGGCGTTGCAGAGGTAAGGCATGTACGGCCAGGAGAGATATTAGGAAAGAAGGTAACAGTGGAGTCAGGCGGTGAGAGGTCACAAGGTGAGGAGTGGGATCAGGATCATATGTGATAGTGGGGTCACAGGGCAGAAACACTGTAGCTTAGATGTAGCTGTGGTTCTTCACTTCTAGGGCCAGGGACTCCCATGAGAGCCAAATGAAACTTCCACAGACCTCCTCCCCTGAGAAGGGCAGATATGGGAAGAAGTCCTGCTTGCTCTGCATGCCAATTAGCTAACTGGTGGTGGGGACCAGCCCATTCATGTCTTTCCAGAGGTCCACAGGATCCAACATAAGAACCCCCACCTGGTGCCTGGGGGAGGTCTAGGCAATCAGAGTGGACCCCAGTAGGCCTTCCCACCCAGCCCCCACCCCCATCCTAGGCACGGTTCATCCTATTGTTCCCCTAAGAAACCTACCAAGTCCAGTAGATTAGGAGCTCACCCACCTCACTTAGCTCCCTCTCCAGCTGGTCGTTTCCCCTCCCACCTCCCAGAGGGAGCCACATCCCATGAGTTTCCATCACTTTATTTTGCAAAAATAGAAAACTCAGCAATATGCGATACAGCGGGGTGGAGGGGAAATGTAAACAGAGGGGAGGGAAGAGCACCCTGACCCCCCGGAGAAAAGGGGGAGCCACTGGGAGTCTTATTTGGCAGCTAAATACAAACTGGGGATTGGAGGAAGGGAGGGATCACAGGGGCCCTGGGCTCCCCCTCCCAAGACCCCTGGAGGAAAGGTCAATTCCAGGGTGTAAACAAAAGCTAATAAATAAATAGAGGCTTCCTCTGGGTCAGGGTGGGATCAGCTAAGCAGCATCCCCCCTCCCTGGGCCAAGCTGCTCTAGGGGTCAAGGATGGAAGGCACTGGGGGAGAGGGATCCCCTGGCCCCTCTGTAGTGTAGGAGGGTCCCTGCCCCAATGGCTGAGATGGGCGAGGCAGGGGGAGCCCAAGGCACATGACAGGGCTGGGGAAGGGGCTTGTAACGGAGGGCAGAGTAAACTGCCCAAACAAAGAGGTTCAGAATGGACCTGCATCTGTCCTTTTCACCCTCCAGCCCCACCCCAGAAATGCAGGGCCCAGCCTGCCCCCAATCTGACCTGGCATGAGGATAGGGCACAGAGGGTAGCATGCACCTGACAGGTGCATCACCCAGCATGAGGCACCAAGGGTAGGGGCAAGGGGGTGGGCTCAGCCCTCCCCTTCTACCCCCCTTTTGGTCTCTATAGTGTTCCTGTTTGCTCCCAAAGGCCTAAGCACCTGGCAGAGGAAGGGGCTGTAGAATGGCAGGGTCTTTCTCCTGCCCTGGGGAGTCTAGGACCCTTGTATCTGAGGGGCAGTGCTAAGATTTTAGAGTCCAAACCCAGGCTCACCCCTCTGCCCTCTTCCCAGTGGGAGCAGGGCAGGCCCCCAGGACTGAAGAGGGAGCTGGTTAGAGCGGAAAGGGGATGAACACAAAGGCACCCCTGGAAACTTTGGCAAAACAAGGAGCTCAATGGAAGGGGTGGGAAGAGGGCAGAGAAGGTCCTCCCCCAGTCACTGATGGTGTCTGGGAGATGGTCGGTCTGCTGCCTGGAGCCCCAACCCCCACAGAGGGAAAGGTCAGGGGCCCTGGTCAGGCTGGGGACTTTGGTCCCCTTTGCCCTGGCCCCTGGGAACCTCATCCTCGCTAGAGGCCTTGGGGTGGGAACCAGGCTGCGAGGAGTCGTCCTCAAACATTTCGGGGTTCTCCAGCATCTCTCGGATCAGGGGAGGCATCGGGCCTGGAATCTCCATCTTCAGGGTAATGGCCCTTTCTGCTCCTACAATGGAGAGGCAAAGAGGCTCAGGAGGGCAAGGGCACAGGACCCTTGAGGCCTCCTCCCTAACCTTTCTGGACTGCCCTCTGACTCCCCTTTACCTCCTCTGTGGGAGCTCCCAGCATAGGCCTGCCACCCCTCTGTCCTCAGCTCACCCTCTCTCCACTCCAGGGTTCCTAGATGCTGCACCTGTTTGGAACCTCTACCTGGTCTTCTCTGCCAGGCCTGCTGCCCATTCCTCCCATTCTTTCAGGCTGTCTTCTCAAAGATCACACCACCACCATGTACAACTTCAGCTCCACTCCCCAGGCACCCCACCCTCTAATGTCCAGAGCTTGCCAGTTGTTCCTAGGTCTGTTCTTAACATCTATAACAGTAGATAATATTTATCAAACACTATATTTCAGGTATCCTTCTAAATCAGCACCACCCGATAGAATTTTTGGCGATGTTGGAAATATCTGCTCTGTCCAATATAGTAGTCACTAGCCACATGTGGCTACTGAGCACTTGAAATACAGCTACTGCAACTACGGAACCGAATTTTTAATTCAGCATAGTTCTAAGCACATTATATTAACTCATTTAGTCCTTACAATAGCCTTATGAGGTCGGTGTAAATATAGCCCAATTTGCAAATGGGAAAAAGAAGTACAAAAAGTAAAGGAATTTGCCAAAAGACTTCTAACTAGTATGTGGCAGAGCTAGGATCCCAATGTAGGTCACCCGGTTCTCAATCCTTCTGTTCTTGTCCCTGCCTATCCACCTATCCAACCTGGGAGACCAGCAGCTCTGGGAAGTCAGAGCAGGGAAGCTCACTCATGACTAACCCTTGGTACTGATGCCCCGGAGGTCGGTGATTTTCATAAGCATCCTTGGGAACATGTAAGGCTGGCTGGGTCGCCGGCGCCGGGCATAGAGCCTCAGGGCTTCCAGCAGTGGCTCCTGCAGCTTTTCCACTTTTTCAGGTTCCTCCAAGTCCATGCGATCTATGGGGACAAGCACAGTGGAGTGAGATGGGAAGGAAGAAACAAGGAGGACACCATGACGGGTGGCTGATCCCCAACTAACCCTCCCCTGTGGGCCTCCAGACCCCAAACTTTGTCCCAACAGCACCTTCCCTTTTGTCCCTGATCCCCAACAGTCTATCTCCCCTGCTCTAAGCCCTGTACCTTAAAGCAAGGGACTTTCTCTGGTAAATCATTCCTGCCAAGTCCCTATCTCAGCACCAGTATCTAGGGTCTCCTCAGCTCACCCTGGCTCTGCCCCTCTTTTTGTCCCATATTCTAGGCTGCTGGGAAGCCTGTGCAGGATCTGAGAAGTCTGTGGATGGGCCCAGATGCAACTATCCCTGGGGAAGAGACCCACCAAGGTCTCCCACCTGGTCAGAGATCAGGTATGAAGTATAGTGGGAAAGGAGCCTGAGCAGACGCCAGGGGGCGCCCCCGCACCTCCACAGATGAGGCAGATGGCGCTGAGCAGCCCTGTCTCAGTGTCATC